TTTGTCCAACTAAGTGAGGCTTTAAAACCTTTTGGGGCTTTTTTTTTTTTTTTTTTCTGCAGAGTGAGTTGAGATTTAGATCTTTGCTAGAGGGAGCATTTCTGTTGGGCCCAGCCTCTTCCACATTTTTGGCAGAACTTGAATACAGGAAACAGCAGTCATCCTGAGATTCCATTTTTTTTTTTCCTGTGGACTTGAGAAGCCAGACACCCACTTTGGAACTCACTGTATACCTGCCTGTTCTTCATTTCTGATTTTCTCCCCTACATCTTTTTCTTCTTACTGATATTTAGGTAAAATTATTTCCATTTGATACATTTGCCTCACACCAGTGTCCTTAGTGGATTAGCAAGTTTTGTGTGGCTTTGTAGCCATAACAGACAACAGTTTTGCTATCTTTGGGATTTTCTTTTTAAGGTATTTCTCAGGAACTCTCACAAAGTTCAAAAGAGAGTAATCATTTCCTTACTCTCACACTGTTAAGTAGAAGAGACAGGAATAATACAAAATATCACACTTTCAAAAATGCTATGAGGAAAACCCAATAAATACCTCAAATGTTCTAAAGCACTGGAGCTGACCCTTCTGGCCATCTGGCAATGCCCACAGACGTTCTTGATTGTCCCAAGTTGAAGACAGAGGTGCTACTAGCATCTAGTGGGTAGAGGCCAGGGGTTGAGCAAAGCATCCTCCAATGCACAAGGCAGTCCAGTCAACAAAGAATTATCCAGCTCCAAACCTTGATACTACCAAGACTGAAAACTCTGCCATTAGGGAAATTCTTAAATTTTTTTGCTTTCCCCAAGGCCTGGGAAAAAAGCAAAGGCTCCATTTTGATGCATGCAAGTGTCCTGAGTCCTGGCACCACACATGGATCCGGGAGTTGGAGAGCAGAAGGGTCCCCAAGAGCAAGGTCAAGGGAGGTCTCCTCAGCTCCAGCAGCTGTCTCAGCTCCAAAGAGAGACAACATTGACAAAAGCAGAAGACCAAAAAGTTACAAGGATGTTTAGTTTTTGATAAAAATCATTTTGCAGATCAAAGTGCTTCCTCATGCCCATAAAATGGCATATTCCTTAAATAACTCAAAAATTGGAGGCGCTTCACTATGTTGTAAGCAGCAGACAGGGCCACGCTCAATCCCATCATGGTCATCATGTCTAGCCAAGCTGTAGGTCAGCGCATGCAACGTCTGCTTATTTTCTCCAGGGTGGTTTTGGACGAACCCATATTCTCATGTATCTGCTCTTTTGTTTCCTGAAACCTGTATCTGCTCCCTCCTTTTGGGGCTCTAGTCTCCATCAGTGATGCCAAGATGGCAGATGAACCACGAAAGCGTACCTCCTATCACAGACAAGCACAATTAGGAAGAATGAGGCTCTTCCCCAAGAGCCTTAGCCAAGGCTCTGTGTGTCTGGTTGGCTTTGATTGGCTCAGATGCTTCTCCCAGAACCAGTACTAGGTAGGGGAATACCACCAGGAGCTGACTGGTTAAGCCTAAATTATCACATCATAACCCTGCGTGCTGGAGTGGAATTTCATATGGTGCCCGTGGACTCAGGTAGGCAGTTTTGTTGTCTCAAAGGAGAACTGGGGCACGCAGTGGGTTAAAGCCCTAGCCGCATATAGATGCTCATTGGAGTCCCAGCTTCTCCACTTCTGATCTAGCTCTCTGCTATGGCCTGGAAAGCAGTGGAAGATGGCCCAAGTCCTTGGACCCCTGCACCCATGTGGCAGACCTGGAAGAAGCTCCTGGTTCCAGGCTTCAGATCGGTTCAGCTCTGGCTGTTGCAGCCATCTGGGGAGAGAACCAGCAGATGGAGGACTTCTCTCTCTCCTCTTTGCCTCTGCCTCTGCCTCTCTGTAACTCTGCCTTTCAAATAAATAAGTAAATCTTAAAAAAAAAAAAAAAAAAAAAGGAGAGTTGGGGTAGAGCATCAAACTAGGAGAAATGGAAGCCAAGGAAAATGAAAATATTTCTCTCTCTCTCTCTCTCTCTCACACACACACACACACAGAGTCATACACTGCCTACTTCTAAGAGGTTTTGGATTCTGTGGAGCAGAAGACACAGGGTTGTACTCTGGTTTTGCCCTTAACTAACTGCTTAACTTGAGATAACCTTATTAACTTCATGAACTGTACCACCTCTTTCTTACCTGGAACATAGAAGTTACTATCAGGGTGGGAATGAACAATCAAGCAAATATCCTTAATACTAGCAGAATAGTGCAAACAGGGAGCAGTGGTGGTGTCAGGTGCGAATGAATTCAGTTCAATCTGGAGTCTAGAAGAATCTAGGCCAGCTGTAACCCACCCAGCTATGCCATGCCAACCTTCGGAAGCTAGTGTCTAAATTTATCCCAATCCTCATTGTTGCAGGTCAGTGTGGGAAATCTTCAGAGGTCAATGATTGAAGTAATTGGCTTGAAAAAGTCTGTTAAATGACATAATTGGTTTTAATTACATAATTATGGCACTTAAAGTGTGGGGGTGAAAGGTTACTATTATATTTAGAAGTGAGATCCCCAAATGAAGCAAGGGTGTTTAAGTCAGCGTGTCTTCGAATTTCTCTATTTTTTCAGAGGGCAGCCAGAGTAGGCTGTCCTTGGCCCTGGTGATTGGGGGGTGATTATCCTGCATGAGGTAGTCCCGGGGCTGCTCACAGTATCATAGGAATCTTTGTAAGGAGACGGAAAGGGCTTCCGTAAAGACCTCGTTGGGATCTGAAGTTAATGAGCAGTGGGAACTCAACCGTCAGCAATTGAATCTGATTGGGCAGGGTAATTATATGATTGCCCCTGGTGTTTGCACATGCATGGGGATATTTTTATTGGAAAAAACCTAATTGCTTACTTACTTAGTGGAGGGAAAACCTAAACAAATTTGTGTTGTCATAGGTTAAAAAGACATCCTTTCTTTGTCTCTACAATTGCTGCGTGCTCTGCTTCTTGGAAGGTTCTGTTTCATTCTGTGTTCTGTCGAGGCTATTGTTTGCTGCACTTGAATGACATGATCATATGAAAATATAAAGGAAAGCTACGTGGGGCTGTGAGTTGTTGGTGAAATGACCATGTGTTTGTTGCCCTTCATAAACCATCCCTTACAATGGTCTCTTTCATAATGCCAAGGCAACTAGAACCCTGGACAAAACTCAAGCTGTTGGGACTTTCATAGGCTTTTTGTTTTGTTTTGTTTTGTTTTCTCCCACAAGCAGGCCTCCTGACAAGATCGGCTTCATTAGCTCTTTTGGTTTCCCTTAGCTGCATAAGGCAAGTGGGAGGTGTCCCATTTGTGATAGCTTTTCTTTGTTTTCTTTATTTTTTTTTTCTTTTAAAGATTCCTTTACTGGGACCGGTGCCACACTAGGTTAATCCTCTGCCTGTGGCGCTGGCATCCCATATGGGCACTGGTTCTAATCCTGGTTGCTCCTCTTCCAGTCCAGCTCTCTGCTGTGGCCTAGGTTAGCAGTGGAGGATGGCCTGAGTGCTTAGGCCCCTGCACCCACATGGGAGACTGGGAAGAAGCACCTGGCTCCTGGCTTCGGATCAGCGCAGCTCCGGCCATTGTGACCATTTGAGGGATGAACAGAGAGGGAAGACATTTCTCTCTCTCATTGTCTGTAACTCTACCTGTCAAATAAATAAATAAGTAAAAATATTTTTTTAAAAAGATTTATTTATTTATTTGAGAACTGAGTTACACAGAGAGAGAAGGAGAGACAGAGAGAAAGGGGTCTTCCATCTGCTGGTTCATTCCCCAGTTGGCCCCAACGGCTGAAGCTACGCTGATCTGAAGCCAGGAGCCAGGAGCTTCTTCTGGGTCTCCCACACGAGTACAGGGGCCCAAGGACTTGAACCACCTTCCACTGCTTTCCCAGGCCATAGCAGAGAGCTGAATCGGAAGTGGAGCAGCTTGGACTTGAATTGGTGCCCATATGGGATGCCGGCACTTCAGGTGGCAGCTTTACATGTTATGCCACAATGCCGGCCCCGTGATAGCTTTTCATACATCAAAAATAGCAAGGGCAGGAAGGGCAAAGTGCTCTCCATGCTGTTTCCCAGGGAGGAAGGCTGGGGTAAAGTGGGAGATTGCAAGGGAAGAAGGCTTGAGGCTTCCACATTGGCAGTGGCAACCTTCAGTCTAGCATCTTGTCCATTCCAACAACCCTAAGTGAGGATGGCATCTCACCTACCCCAGATGCTGATCCACAGAAAACTGATCACTGCAAGTGGATCTAGTCTGTGGAAGTTCAACTCAACATTATTGTTTTGCTTGGTCTGTTCTAGTAGAAACATTCTCTCTATGCTCTAAGTTCCTTGCTTTTGTGAGATCCTACCAGAAAGATTGAAACAAAACTGGATTGTGGGAGCTCTTCGTGATGAGGGATGCAGATCCCGAATCTGGGAGCTCTGGTTGGATTTAGGATTATGGGCTGGATAAAGGCCGAGAATAAAGGGCTTCCAGCCCTTCATACCTGCCATGCTCTCTTGTCTCACGAATCTTACATGGGCTGACCCCCCTGATCGCGTCCGGCTAACTCTGTGGGTCCTCCCGGCTCAGTGTTAAAGGTCAGTTCATCCAGGAAGCCTTTCCTGATCACTTGCTGCCAGTGTGGGTTGGCTGCCTTTGCTTTGTTCCTCACAGCGTCCTGCAGGTTCCCTTACCCAATGCACTATAACTGCTCACCTCATGGTCTTTCCCTGATCACTCATAAGCTCCATGAAGGCAGGGCCTGTGTTCGTATTTGTTAACAAACCGATCTCCAGAACCTGGCACAGTGCTAAGTGAGTGTTGTGTGGATCGACTGAATGAGCAAAGGAATGGTTGCTGGTGTCCTAGGGAATTTTGTATGCTGCCTGGGTCTCCCTACCTTCACTGTTAATACTGCTTTCTTGTTGCTTATAATTTTCATTGCCCCAGATGATCCAGCTCTGTCGGAGGCACGTAGGCACAGCCAAATCTCATGCTGTACATTGATCACCTGTCCAACCTTTGCCTAGAGTGGGAGCCCCCAGTTCCTTCAAGAGATCCAACTTTACCTGTCTGTAAAGAAGAAGAGGAGGAGGGAGACAGCGGGGAGGATCCGGTGGCAGTTTAACACCAGAGCAGGTCCAGTGTTGACTTCTACCCTTTTGGAGGTGGGTAACTGCAAATGCTGTGGGGTGCTGGGTTTCCCAGAGACTGCATAATGACCTTGGATTTGGGGGCTCACATATTTTCTTTGCTGGAGTGCAGGGGTTGCTATTTTTGTATGTAATTAATAGCCAGGCTGCTCCACAATTCCCACCGGCATAGACCAAGAATCTAAGTTCATCATCTCCCTGTGGTAATTGTTTTGTAGGCCTCATGGTGGCCGCACACAGAGCTGTTTGTTTCTTGGTGCGTGAATGGATAGGAAGGGCATGCATTGGTTGCTATTTAATGACGATTAGATTTTTTATTTGCTTTTCAAGGCCTATGATTGTCAACAGGCTTTCTTGTTTTGATTTCGTGGCTTTGGATGTTTAGAATCCCCCCTTCCCCAGCCAACCCCTTAGGCCCTGAGATCCTGCAAACCTCCTGTAGACAGACAGATGAGCTTTGACTTTGTACTGCTCCTCAGTGCTTGGGCATAGGCCTACACAGTGCTGAGGTTGTTAACCAGCTTCTTCCCCGAGCTGAGCATGAACTCATGGAAGAAAGTTTTCCCCTGAAGCCCTAAACCCCAAGCTGTCCCAGAGTTTGAACTGCCTGTTGGCGATTGCCCTGCAGTAATGATTTCTGGGTGGATGGACATTTGCATTCGGAAACCACAGCCTCACATGTGGCAGAACAGAGTAAACCCACAGAGACCACGAGGCACTGGCCTTGTGCTCCTTGCGTAGCCGCCTGCACCCAGCTCTCCTCTGTCAGAAATCTGTTCTCCTGCTGTTGGTGCCCAGTCTGCATTTTTTTTTTTTTTTGCATTCTTGAGTTGCATTTTTGCTTTGGCATAAAAAGTACCTAAGCTGGAACCTTGAGGGCTTTCTTCTAGGAAGGAGTTTGGCTCTACTCCGTTCTGGAATATGTATGTACTGAAACGTTGCATGCTCTGAACCAAACAGCCGTGGGCCACAGTGAGCTTTATTCCTGGTTCTAAGGAGAAGTTTGGTGTAACGTTCAGTTTTGGAACAGCACCAAGGGATGCCTCACCACCGCATATCCTTTCTGGATCGAGGCAGGTAGTAACTGCCTACACAAATAAATCACATCCTTTTGCAAAAAAAAAAAAAAAAAAACCACCGACTTTGAATGACATTTAATTTATAATTAAACTTGGCAGTGCTGTCTCTGAAGTGTCTCATCTTGTCTAATCACAATGATCTGCTTCCTCTCAGTACTTTCGTAGGCAGTAAGCTAGTCCTTTGGTCAGCACACAATATGATGAACAGAATGATTTTTTTTAAGAAGAAAAAGTAAAGTTAGGATTTGATGATTGCCAAATTAGGTCAGACTCAAACCAAATTAAATTAGAGTAAACGACTGCTGTATTAGGCCAAACTCTATGCACTCTGTTTCGAAAATATTTTTGCATCCTTTCCCGGATTGATTGATTCTGCAAACAGATTGAAACCATAGTGCACTAAGTGCAGTGCCTGACCCAGCAGCCCCTTCCCAGCATCACGTGGGAAACTCTCAGCCGCCCCTGAGACCCACCCTGTAGGTGGGGTCCAGCAGGCTGTGTTTGAATGAACCTCCCTGCGATCCTGCTGCACGCCAAAGTTGAGAGCCATTGGTTTAAAATCCTGCCAGCGTGTCATGTGGGGTATCAAAGGGTATGACTCTAGTCCTGCCGACCAGGAGCTTATGATCTGATCAAGGACAGAAGGCATACATTCGCCAGACAGTTAAGCAGAGCAATCTTTATAAACGTACATTACATCACAGGCTCACTTCCTACCCTCACCCCCACCCCAGGCAGTTCCCTTTGTACTTGTAATAAATATAAATACCTGGCTAAGGCCTACAAGGCCTGGCATGCTCTGGCCCCTGCCTACCTTGTAAGCCTCATCTGGTGCTCCTCCCTCCTGCCTCCAGGATTGGGCCCCACTGCCCTGGCTTGCTTTCGAATACTCAAACCTGACTGCTGAGTGTGGTGTCAGCAGAAATGTAAGGAAAGGGAAAGAGGGATGGGAGGGTGGTGAGAGTTCAATAATAGGCTTGGTCACTGAAGTAAACATTTCTAAACTGCTGGCCCCATTGGTTCATATATTGCTTTATTAATATATTGATCAATATTGATACTGATAATATAGTGATAGCCATCAGTATTAGTGGCCTTATCATAGCAAAATCAGAACTATTTAACACAGTATGTCGCGTATTTGTGTTGACTTCTCACCGTGAGAGTTGGCGAGGTAGGCGTGTTGCTCAGCCGCACCCTGGGAACTGAGTAACCGTGGCCTTGGGAAGAGGTGAATTGCTGAGTGTGGAATCCTCAGGGTGGACAGAGCCCAAGAAGGACTCTTCTGATGCCTTTGTTTAGTTTTAGGAAAGACAGGACCACCTCCCTTCAGTTTTGTCTTTTTAAAAAATTATCTGTGAATGTCAATTTTGACCTTTGGGATACTATCTATAATGTGTGATTTGGGAATAAAGCAGCTGTTTGCATTTTTATGGAATGGGAAAATCTCCTATCTCAAGATTTTCTTCATAATGAGAAAGGGAAAAACACATTGTAATTATAATTTGCTTCTTTGACAGATGAATTGGATTTGTTGGAGGGGCTTCTTAAAGGGTCTAAGAACAAGAACAATGGTTTCTTTGGCTTTCGCTGTTGTTTGTGTTTTCTCTATCCCCAGCTCTAGCTTTCACAGTAGTGGGATTTTATATGCAGTCTGGCATCTCCAGCTTTGGGGTGGCCCTTGCTCGTTAGGCACCTCCTCACTTGAGATCTTCTCCAGAGAGATGAAAGTTTAGCTTGGAGGTGCCAAAAAGGACATTAGGGGGTGGGGATGGGGGAAGTGCTCCTGCAGCCTCTCACTGCCCCTTCCCTTGTAAGGAGCTCCCAGGGGAGAGGAGGACAGTCTCCTTGCTCCCTGGAGCTTCAGGGCACAGGAGGGAGCCCTTCCTGTTACTAAGCCAGTCTGCCTTCCTGGGTGGGCACGTACAAGTAGATAGGACAGATGCTCCCTGTCCCCACCCTCTGGGAACCTACAGCCTAGAGGCTGGGCGGGCTCATGCAGGAAGATGCTCTGACAGATGAGCACAGGGAGCTAGGAGAGCAGAGGACAGGGGAACAGGCCCCTCTGGAGCTAGCAGGGAGGGACCTGGGATGCAGCCTGACAGCTGAAAGGTGCTCAGGAGTGCTTCCAGGTATGGGTCTAGGCCAGCAGTGTGGGATGGGGCAAGGGGTGGTGCCTGCATCACCTCCCACGGGAGCTGGACTTCTGCCCCCAGAGGCTGCCACAGCAGAGAGGCTTCTAAGCATCCAAGGGAATGGTGAGGACACCTCTGCAAGGTGAACCCTGGGGTACAGCCCTGTGTCTCAGGAGACTGCGATTTCCCAGCAACCCCCAACAGCAGCGGCTCTGGGCCTGAGTGTGCCCAGGACCTTTTCTTGGCTCCCCTAGCTCTTCCGGGGCCTCTGTCCGACTCCTCTCCTCCTTGAGAGCAAAGTGCCTGCAAGGGACCTTCACCACGCCCTGGAGGTTTCTTACAGACGTGGCGTGTAGGGGAGAGTTGGCGGCATCAGCAGAGATTCTCCTGGGGGTGGCCAGCAGCCTCGGGGGTGAGGACCTGTGTCCCTTAATGCTTTCCTGACACAGAGGTCTCTGTGTGTGTGTACTGTCTGTCCCTCGAGCAAGGACGCAGCTTGAGGGCAGGTTCTCCATCTCTGCGCCTCAGTCCTGAGCACACCGGCTTTGCACCTATCTGGCGCTCAGAAATCACTCACAATGAGAGAAGAGATTCTGCAAATCCCAAAGTCCTTGCCACACTGGGGCTTTTTTCAGGGCTGTGAGATAAAAGCTACATCTGATGCATTCTTTGTCTATCCACCCATCACAAAGCAGTGACTGAGAATTTACTGTTAGACTGTAGCACTGGAACACAAACCCTGGCTCCTGGGAGGTTCCCAATGAATGCTGGTTGCTACAGAGGAAGTGGAACACTGACAGTCTTCTGAATCCCCTTGTGTTCCTGTCCCTCCGACTTTTCCAGAAGCCCTGATTCTCATTGCGCTCCTGTGGTTTGGGAGCAACAGTCCAGGGCACCAGGCTCTGAGTGCATCTGCTGCTCTTCAGAGAGGCAGAACTCTCCCACAGGCAGGAGCTGCTCATTTCCGGAACTCATGACATGAGCTCTGACATTTTTACAGTGTCTAGGGACCACTTGCTGGTTGTCTGCAGATAGCCACAGCAAAGAGTGAATGGCAGGGAGAGGATGAGCTCTAGGGCCATCTCAGTAGCTTTACAAACAGTTAACAAATTAATGAAGGTAGTCATGTAGGGTACCCAGGTTTCTGTTTGCTGGAAAAGGCCACAGCTGTCTCTGAGAATGGGACTTAGAAGGGCAGTTCCTGTAGATGTGAAGAGTTTGAGGCTGGCATCCCCAACCGAATCTATACGTCAGTTCTGCCCAGGTTGTATTTGGGTTCCAAAACCCTGAAAACATAGCCTGTAATTCCAGTTCTTCTGGCTTTTGGGGAAATCTCAGATGATCCTGCCTCACCAGACCATAAGATTATGGGGAACACAGGAGCCCCCCAGCTGCCCTCTCCAGTTTATTGATCACCTATGTCGGCCGTGCTCAAACCCAGCTCACTCCCCTGATTTGAAATTCCTCCCTGGTCTCCATCAGCACTGTGGCCCTGATGTGGACCTGCAGGAGAAGACGGTGCAGAGGGTGTGCTGTGGCCAGCAGCAAGCATGAATGATGTCCAGATTTTCCTGTCCAGCTTCTTGTCCAGATGCCATTTGGCAGGGCCTGTAAGGCTGTCCCCAGTGGCTTACCACACAGGCTGTGGATAGGTGCCACACAGGCACTGGCCTGGGTGCTTCCTTGGGGGTTCTGACTTCAATACTCAGCATGAGGTTTTAAGAGCACGTCCATGTGGACGGCTGTGGAAGGCCTCAATGTGGCTTGTGCACCGCTCCTCTGCTCCCTGGTGCACATGTTCTGTACTCTTCCTGAACTGGTATTGAGCCTTCCAGATCACTGTCATGAAGGCGGATTCAAACAAGAGCTCACCTGTGAAAAGAGGCTCTTAAAACTTAAAAGAAGTATAATACAAGGAAAATAGTCACAACATGTTGGTTTGAAATCCTGTATATATATCAACTAAAACTGTGGTTTAAGGGTGTGAGGGGCTATGTCTGCCGCATCTTCTGTGTAAAGATGGAGAGATATTGCTGTACCTGTGGGTGTCCAAGGCCTGCCAGATTTGTCCTTGTCGAAGGCAGCCTCTTGTTTTCTTCCTAGATCCCTGTGGATTGTTGTTTTCTTTACAGTGACAAGTTGGTCATTTTGCCGGATCATTTCTAGTGTTTGCCTCCATTGTATAGTCCTGGTACTCACGAGCCCTTTGACCCTGCTCCACGTATGTTCTGTCTGCTCTCATTCCTTCATTTGCACCTTTCCTCCGGGAGCATCAGATATCCTCGGGTTCTTGCTGTCCAGGTCCCATATCTACCATCTTGTCCCTTAGGGATGACGTGTCTCAAACCTGAGATAACCTCACAAGTTTGTAGTTTTTTGTTTGTTTTTTTTTTTTAATCCCCTGCTGATGTTCTCTGCAATGGTGATTCAGCTCTTGGCCTTGTCTGATGCCAGCTGGGACCCCACTACTGCACTTTTAATGGGTGGTGGATGCGTGAAATCCCCTTCCGCATTGCATCCTGGCTCTACTCTTCTGCAGCAGGGTCTGGTGTCTGCTTCCCTGTTGCGAAAAGTGAGTTCCAAAGGGAGATATGATTGTCAAAGGTCACATCAGCGGCCCCCGGAATTGGAGTCTTCTACCCATCCGAAGCCCTTTTGATCCCCGAGATTCCAGCTTAGAGATTAACCCCGAGGTATAAAATAAATGATTAAATAAAGAAACTGCTCATTATCATAGATCTCATCAGAATCTCCCACCTTTGTAAGTGTGAGTCTTGCAGCTGAGAATTTCTTACCCAGTATTCACTCTTGTCCAGCACAGCTTGCCTCACTAAGAGCTCTCATGAAATAGAGGAAGTTTAAAACAGTGATTGTCATTGCTTCGTGGCCTTTGGGTTAAGATCAAATGTAAATCAGTGAGTTTCACTTGGGGGAAGGGGCTGTTTAGCTCCACAGACAACCTATAGCAGTGTCTGGAGACATTTTCAGTTATTGCAACTGAAGTTGTATGTGTGTATGTGTTGATATTGGTATCTAATGAGTAGAGTGCCAAAGACTGCACACTTGTCCCTGTGGGACAAGTGCTCTGAAATGTGTAATAGACCCTAGTGTGACTTCTTGTGGGGAGCAATCCGGACTAGACTAAGTTACTCGAATTAAGACTTATTCTATGCATCTGCTCTCCCACAATATGGCGCTGGGAGAGAAGTAAACAGCTTCCGCACAGCTGCCTCCAGTTCAACTAATAAATTGTAGGACTTGCTCCTGATTGGAGAGCAGCGTACTCGGCGTGTGGGCAGCCGAGTTAGGATTGGCGGAGGAGGACTATAAAGGAGGAGAGAGACGGCATGCACCGGGAACATCTATGGGGAACATCTAAGGGAACCCGTGCAGCCCCCGAGAGAACCGGCCGGCGGTGTGCCGCTCCCCTGCGGAAGTGGGGAATGCGGCCAGGGGGAACTGCCCTTCCACGGAGGTGGAAGGGATAGTAGCCAACCCGGGAAGAACCAGCAGCAAACCCGGGGAGGGCCGAGCAGACAGAAAGAACAGCGCAGGGTCCTGTGTCGTTCCTCCACGAAGAGGGGGAGCGACAACTTCTAAAATTTTTGGCATTTAAGAATATTCTTGAGTTCCTAGGAGCTGTTGGTCAGCAGGTATTTTTCCTGAAGAATAAGAGAAATGAAATTACATTAAGATGGAGAATCTTTTGATATTTAAAGGAAGTCTCCATCAAAATTGTGCTGCTCCTGTCTTCTACAATGAGTTTGATGTTTTCATTGAGTCCTTCTTCGAGTAGTTGCCAGTCCTAGGGCAAGTCCATGGTGCCTGGTGGCTCTCATCGGTGGCTACAGCATTGGGGCAGATCTGGCAAGCAGATGTTTGTGGTGGAAACTTTCCATTCTAGAATCATTCCTTCTGAGGGAGGAGGGTAAGGTCAGAGAAGAATGTCCCCAGACAATCTGCCCCTTTGTTAATCAGGGCTGTCATCTTGGCTGCCCCTGCAGCAGCCCCATCTTCCTGAAATCGTCAGTAAAAAGGCCATTCAGCAGATACATCTGGCGTTGGCCAGGAGTTTTCAAACTCCGATTTAACAACAAGGAATGGATTTAATCAGACTCAAAGGAACACTGAGAGTCATTTGGTAACAGTGCTGTATCTCTGAAAGGGCTCTGGAAGCCAGATTACCAAAAACCAGTTTCTTGGGGTGGGCGTTCGGTGCAGTGGTAAGATGCCACTTGGGATGCCTACGTCCTGTGTTGGAGTGCCTCGTTTGCGTCCCAGCTCCCGTGCTTTCAATCCAGCCTCTTACTGATGCTCACCCTAGGAAGTAGCAGGGGATGGCTCAGTACTACCCATGTGAGATTCAGATGGAGGCTGCTAGCTTCAGCCTGGCCCATCTCTGACTGTTGTGAGTATTTGGGGAATAAAGCAATAGATGGAAGTTCTCTATCTCTCCCTTTCAACTAAAATGAACATAAATAAAACTCTTAAAATAATAAACTATATGGACTATGCTGATTTCTTGAGCAGAAGTGGCAAATCAGTGCAAAGTAACTGAGTTGAAAGTGCATGAGTTTGAAATCAGCAATATGAGCTCACTGGGACACATACTATATTTATTGCTTTTATGGAGTAATCTCATTAGTGTTCATGGCAACCTATGTAGTAAACTCTAATACTGTGACCATTTCATAGATGTGGAGACTGAGGTTTAGGCCACCAAGTGATTTGTCCAAGGTCACGCACTAATAACTTCTTTGACCATTGGGCTAATATGATTGCTGATGTTGAGTCAATAAGCTATTATTTTAAGGTCTATCCCTAATTTGTTTCAATGCAGTCTTTGTTGGCACATGTAATTTTTATAAGAAATCATTTGAGTCAATTTTAAGAGATCTGGCCAAGGCTGATATCTGTAGGATAATAACAGTAACACTGAATTTGGTGAAACATGTTTTCAAGTTGTTTTCTTTGTCTTCATTTGCGGCCTCCACAGTCACAGGCATGATGTGGAGGGTGTGTGAGTCCCACGGAGGGGAGCAGAGCAGTCATCAGTCAGCAATCAGGCTCTTGCATTAACAAGAGGTGGCTTTCAGCAGATGATACAGCTTCTCAAGGTGTCAGGCGTCTTCCGGAATGGGGAGGAGGTCATAGTTTAACCATTTAGTCAATAGCCATTTATTTGGTGTCTGTTACATAAGACAGATATAGTGACCTACTCTCTGTATCTTACTGAGACATCACAAGGAATCCTAACGTAATGTGATTTTTTTTTTCTGGGAGAGAAGTCTGTATCTGTATGAGGGGCAGACTGCCTAGTTAGGCTGATATCAACAGGTGTTTATTGAGTGCCAACTACCTGCCAGGCTCCATCCCAGGAACCAGATACTGCAAATACATTATATATCAGAGGGCTGGGGTGGGTGGGGTGGCAGTGGGGCAGTAAACCAGTAAACACACACATAGGATGACCTCAGAGACTGGTGAGTGGCCTGAAGAAAGCACACTAGAGTTCTACAGGAAGGAGTGATTGGGAATGAGAGGAGCTACTGCGCCTAAGCTGATCTGAGAATGTTTTCCTGGGGAGGGGACACCAAAACATGCCTTGGAAAATCAGACCTAGTTTCAGGGTACAGAACTGGGTAAATTGATCTTGTTGTATAAGGTTCCAAAATTTCAGGGGGCCAGCACTGTGTCTCACTTGGTTAATCCTCCGCCTGCTGCGCTGGCATCCCATATGGGCACCGGGTTCTAGTCCCGGTTGCTCCTCTTCCAGTCCAGCTCTCTGCTGTGGCCCGGGAAGGCAGTGGAGGATGGCCCAGGAGCTTGGGCCCCTGCACCCGCATGGGAGACCAGGAAGAAGCTCCTGGCTCCTGACTTCAGATCAGTGCAGCGCCGGCCGTAGCTGCCATTTAGGGGGTTGAACCAACGGAAGGAAGACCTTTCTCTTTGTCTTTCTCTCATTATCTGTATCTCTACCTGTCAAATAGAAAAAAAAGGGGTTGCAAAATTTCATTATTCTTTTCATGGAGAACATCAGATGGCACATATGTGCCAGTTCTGGGAACTTGTTTGGATTTCTTTGCATGGTCAACCACATGCTCAATTTTGTAAGATCGTTCTTTGTGTTCTTGAGAGTTCTATGGGTGTGTGCTCTTAGTATATTCTTTAGATGAAGTATATAGGTTATGTAACTGAAATCTTCTAAATCTTTATTAGTGTTTTAGAGGTAAACTGCCCAGCTTCTGAGAGCTAAGAATTCTCATGGTTGTTATGGATTTGGTAATTTCTCAGCGATTCTATCAGTTTTTATTTTATTTCTAGCATATGCTTTTGACTTTGAAATGTCATCATCTAATACTATATCTGCTGACAGGTTGTGCTTGTCTTTTTTTTTTAAGAAAGCTTTTATTTAATAAATATAAATTTCATAGGTATAGCTTTTGAAATATAGCAGTTCTTCCCATCATACCCGCCCTCCCACCCCAAAACTGTCCTACTTCCTACTCCTTCTCCCATCCCATTCTTCATTAAGATTCATTTTTAATTACCTTTGTACACAGAAGACCAACTCTATACTAAGTAAAGTTTTCAACAGTTTGCACCCACACAGACACACAAAGTATAAAGTGCTGTTTGAAGAAAAGTTTTACCTTTAAGTCTCATAGTACAACTCATTAAGGACAAAGGTCCTACATGGGGAGCAAGTGCACAGTGACTCCTGTTGTTGATTTAACAATTGACACTCTTATTTATGATGTCAGTCATCACCTGAGGCTCTTGTCATGAGCTGCCAAGGCTATGGAAGCCTTTTGACTCCACAAACTCTGTCAGTATTTAGACAGGGCCATAAGCAAAATGGAATTTCTCTCCTCCCTTCAGAGAAAGTACATCATTCTTTGATGGCCTTTCTTTCCACTGGGATCTCACTCACAGAGATCCTTGGTGTGGATCATTTTTTTGTCACAGGGTTGGCTTTCCATGCCTGAAATGCTCTCATGGGCTTTTCAGCCAGATCCGAATGCCTTAGGGCTGATTCTGAGGTCAAAGTTGTGCTTGCCTTTAAGGAAAATATTTTCCCCTTCTTAATGCTTTCACTTTAAAATTTTATTTCTTCTGATATCACTGCTGTAGAAACATTGTTTGAGTTCATGTATTTGATGGCATGTATTTTGTCCTATCCTTTTATTTTCAGATTTTTTTTGTCTTACTGCTCCACTTTTATCAGTAGCATAAAAGTGGATTCTTACCCCCCAACACCAAATCTGGCTTCTTCCTGTTTTTAATGGGTAAATTTAAGCTGTTTGAATTTATTGTCACTACCCTCTGTGGAATTAACTCTGTCTTCTTATTTTGCACATCTTAGTCTCATGGGCTTGTTTTTTTTTTCCTTCCTTCTCTCTCCTTTACCGCTTGATTTGAATTGTCCATGCTTTCTTTTTCCCTGTTTTCTCCTCTGCTGCTTTGGGAGTTACATATTCGATTTCTCTTCTCTTAATGGTTTGGATAGTATCTAAAGCTGAATTTGGCAAACACTCGGAAGCTCTTAATGCATCACCTTCAGTTGGCTTTAGGGCTTTCTCTAGCATCCTGGTTCCCCAGCAGTTGGGTCTTTAATGAGGTGAGGTGTAAATGACAGTGCAGAGTGTGGTCACCACGATTGTGTCTGGGAGAATGGGCTTCCAATTTGCCTTGGCTGAGACCTGCTCCCTGTGTTCCGAGGGTGCCTGGTAACTGACAAAAGGCAAAGCTTTCATAGGTTATGGATAACGTGGCAGCTTCTAAGCAGAGCCTCACTTGGTTTCTTCTGTTGCCCTTCTTTTTGTCTGCATTTGAGCTCTTGTAAGTGATGATAAACATTAAATAGCTCCTGTAAAACTGTTGAATTGTCAGTTTTTAAACTGCATAAAACACTGACATTTTCATTAGATCCCAGCCCTGAGGAATGTCCGGCTTTCATCGTAACAGATTTGTTTACTTCTGCAGAGAGTCCTAATGCGCTGCCTATGGGAGAAATCTTTCTGTCACCTGCTCTTAAATGGGAAAGTCTTTGTTCGGCCAAAGATTTTTGGAAAACGGTTTACAAGAGGGCTTTTTCACATCCCTTTCTCTCTCCCACCGTCTCCCCAAAGGGTAAGGAATGGAGAGAGAGAGTCTTTGAAGAGCTTTGGTACTGGACAGAAAAATTTCAACCTAAAATAATACTGCAAAGCCCATTAGGAAGCAAAATGTTGAAGAGATGCCATTAAACCACTATTTAGTTCCAATGTATCCCTTTGATAAGCAACCCATATCTATGTCTTTTTGACCTTATTCTTTTGCTTGACATTGAAACTGCTTTCTTGATTTTGAACTACTAAACTCTCTTGTGCTTATGAGTAGAGAAAACATTTTAAACTGTTGCATCCTTCTAAGTGAATAAGAAAAGAGAAGACTTTTATCTTCTGATCAACACATTGGATTTTCAACATTTTTCCAGAAGATGCCAGATTTTTCTTGAACAACTGTAGAGTCATCCCAATTTAACAAGCTGGGAAATGTGTGTGTTGAAAGACAGACTTGTCTCAGTATGACCAGCACTGGGATGTTAACTTTTCTGGCATCAACATGTTTGTAATTTATGGCAAGATTTCTTGCTTATGTTTAAAAGAGCCTTCCTCTACTGTAATAGCTTGTTGAGTATGTCATTGGCATGTTTGTCTACTTTCACATTTCAAGAGAGGCAGTCCAGGCATAAGGAAGCACAGTTTCTCAATCCAGTAGATGGGCATTTGATTTCCAATTCTAGGACACACCACTATGTAGTGATGAATGAGCCAATGAATCCTTTCTGGGTTTTGTTTTTCCCATCGATGGGACTGAAATAATAAAGTGACTTTTCAGAATTGACATGAGCACTAAGTGATATATTATATTTAAAGGGTATGGCGCAGAAGCTAGGCCATAGTGGGGAACCATTCAATAATGATGATGGTGGTGATGGGCATGAAGGTGATGAAGATGAGGATGGTGATGGTGTTGGTAGTGATAAAGGATGGTGATAAAGGTATTGGTATATAATAGTGATTATGGCTGAGTGTATGAGAAAAGCTAAGAAAGATTAGATAAAGAACTTGAGATAAAGCAGAATTATTCATTACATTATCATATATACTCCTCCTCCCCAACCTCTGTTCGGTAGTTCCAGTCACTAGGGGATCCTTAGCAAAATTTTGTTATAAACAGCAAAACACAAAAGCCTAATCACTCCTGTCATTGTGTTTTCTGGCCTGTATTTGTCTTAGAAAAAGCAAAGAAACGTTATTGTAAGTCATTGAATGCTATTGACATCAGTCTCTGTATCAAAACGCGTGTCCATTCCTTGACTTCTGTGGTATTGACTCCTTCAATGTCTGTCATCTCTTTGCCAGCTCCTCTTCCTGATTATTTTTGATGAGCAAGTATGAAACTCAGAGTAGCCAGTGCAGGAGAAAAAAGAGGCCAACAGCAAGATTGGAACAGAATCTGAGTGTCGTGCCCCAAGGCCGAGAAGGGAGAGTTTCAGGTAGAGGAGAAAGGTCAGCAGTTTGGAGTATAAGTGTGAGGGTGAGGGTAAGGAGGCTGAAACTTCAGTGTTGGCACATGATACAAAATTGCCAGGGTGGCAGAAGAGGTAAGTAGAGGAGTAGCTGGGAAGTAAAGGGATGGAGGCCACAGACTATGAGGAAACAGAAAGAGGACATTGCAAGGTAGATCATCTTTTATTTTTTTATTTTTTATTTTTTTAGATAGGGGATAATTGAGTTTCTTGTAGACCAAGTAGAGAGAGTCAGAAAAAGCTGAGCATGAAGATATAAAAGCAAGAGGATTCAGATCATTGGTCTTGGAGGAAAACGGGAGAGGTGGAGGGGTTCATTGGCCCATAAAACCACCTGCCACATCCCCAGATGGAAAAGTGAAGAAACAGGGAAATTACTAGGTGAGGAAAAGTCTGATCAGTGAGACTCAGGCTGGATGCCCTTGACTCCTCTTAAAAAGAAAAGTCTCTGATGAAAGTAGATGTTTTAGAGGCATAAAGAGCTCGGAAGAGGGTTTAACAAGAACCACTGTCTGAAATGGGAGAGGAAGTCAACAAACAGTGAGTAAAAGACTTATCGAGCCATACTGTGAAGGGGAGAAGGCATGTGTTTCTGCATCCTCCTGTGCTATTCTGGTGCTGGGACCTTCCCCTAGGTTCTTCTGTGTACTATGTGCAACGTGGAATCCCTTGAATGCTACCACACCCATGTCCCTCATGGGCTCTTCACTCCCCATCTCCCCATGCCCAGCCCAGTTTGCCTATGATAATCACATAGAAAAGAGCCAAATGGACTGGTTTGCACCCAGGTGATTGCTAATATCTCTTCTACACTTGACCTTCATGTGTCAGGTAATCAAGAGGAAGGAGCACAGGACAGGAGTCAAGGGCATTGTGTGTAATCCCAGGCCTGGTTCACTAACCAGCTATTCTGTCCTCCTGTCTCATAGGATGTCATGGTCTTCTTGTTTGCCACGTGTTTCTGGTATGTTGTCCAGAATCTAGCATATAGTTGGTGCTCATATAATTTGCTTGAATGAGTAATTGGAGATAGGAAACAATCTTCGCACACCGCGTCTCTCCATGCCAATGTGAAGGACTATTACTTCCGTGTGCATTTTGGCAGACACAGTATCAGTGCACGGTAGCAGAGGAGTGACTCTCTGGGAGCAGAATCTTAGCTACTAGTGGTGAGCAGGTGAAGGGAGATACTTGGAGCAGATCTGGGTGGGGGTTTCCAGAGCTGCTCTGATGTAACTCTCTTGGTGTCCACAACTATTGGTTCGACTTTTAGATAAATGAGCTCCAGTGCCTTCAGTAATCTGATCCAAGGTGACTAGCTGTTGGAAAAAAAATATATAGGCATTGTCATTATAGATGAGAAGCTGAGGTCCTGGCAAGGGAAAGAAAGGTGAAAATGGGTTCCTGATAAAGAAGCAGATTCCTTCCTACCGCCTGTTTCTACCTTCTCCTCCCCCGTTTCCCCTGCCAATAAAGATACTTCTCTACCTATCCCCCATGATGCCCTCGACTCTAGCAGCAAAATGGATTGTCAACCAAACCTCAAGAGAGTAAAAGAAAACTACCTCCTCCGAGGGAGAGGGCAGAGGGGAGAGATGGCAGCATCAATAAAGGCTGAAGGGATTGGCCCAGAACATGCAGGATCCAAGAGGGTGTTTATTTTCAAAACAATGGCTCACTGCTCGGGCACCTTTCAACAGAGGAGAAAAATGGAAGGAGTGGAGCTTGTGCCCAGACGTGGGACAGGCCCACAGTGGCCCAAGCCACCAAGTCAGCAAAACCAGCTTTTGTTCTCTTTGCCCTGGCTGCAGCCGTTGAGTAAGCAGGACTCATGGGAGATACCCTAAGCATGAGGAA